TTTATTTTAAACACTGATGTATGCAACGCATGAAAAAAAAAAACCTTCAGACACAAACCGTATCCTTCTAGTATGGGAAATAATATGTTCCTTATGAAAAGTTAGATTATATATGTAAAAAACTGAACAAAACAATTCAGTCATTTTTCTCCGTAAAATATATAAGGAATCCCAGCGCTAATTAGGAAGATTAATTGTGCTCTTGATGGTATTTTTAGTTGTTTTTTTGTGTGTGTGTGTGACACATATGTTATTAGGGATCATCTGAGCATCAAAGTCAGGGACCCACAAGCAATTTAGTACATAAAAACTTTAGAAAAATGTGTGTAAAAAGCCGCTAACTCTAGGGTTAACGAGAAACTTTGACGTTGCTAAGAGAGTTTCGGAGAAGCTGCAACTACTCCACGTCCAAATCAATTATCATGATTACTTTAAACAGCGATATTAATCATTACAAAATAGTTAGCCCTAAAGCAAAGCAACTGTTCTACTATAATATTACTTGTTCTTACTGCTACAGACAGCACATCGAACAAATTCCCCTCTTGATTTGAGAGTCGAAATAAATCTTGAAACTCCTATCTTATTTAATAGAATACTTACCTACCAGTTAATGTACGTAGGGTGTTTTAGTTTTTGTTTCCCCAAAACTTTAAACGCTTTTATATGTTAGTTTGTTTTGAATTATTATTAAATATTCCACAAGCTAATTTGATTGTATGAAACGTGCCTATTTATAACTAGTCGCACCTACTGCCAGTTACTCATTACGGCATAATGATCAAATAAATAACGAACCATACTGATAATTACAACATGTTACTGCATAATGATCAAACAAATCATGAACCGTACTGTTAATTACACGTCACTGTATAATGATAAAACAAATCATGAACTGTATTGTTATTTACACGTCACGGCATAATGATAGAACAAATCATGAACTATAATGTTATTTACACGTCACTGCATAATGATCAAACAAATCATGAACGTAATGTTAATTACACGTCACTGCATAATGATCAAACAAATCATGAACTGTAATGTTATTTACACGTCACTGCATAATGATCAAACAAATCATGAACTGTAATGTCATTTACACGTCACTGCATAATGATCAAACAAATCATGAACCGTAATGTTAATTACACGTCACTGCATAATGATCAAACAAATCATGAACCGTAATGTTAATTACACGTCACTACATAATGATCAAACAAATTATGAACCATACTGTTAATTACACGTCACTGCATAATGATCAAACAAATCATGAACCGTAATGTTAATTACACGTCACTGCATAATGATCAAACAAATCATGAACTGTATTGTTATTTACACGTCACTGCATAATGATCAAACAAATTATGAACTGTATTGTTATTTACACGTCACTGCATAATGATCAAACAAATTATGAAC